TAATATATATAACATGTTGATGTTATATATAGCTCAATTAAGCTATATAACCTCAGCAAACCATAGTGAAGGTCCTATGACATCGGTAAGAAGCTATTCCAGGATCCAAGACATGAATGCCATCCCATTAGACTATAAATAAGATAATGTAATATAATAGATTCAAAATGAAACAGTCCTACTATTGGTAAATCACGTACATTATGGAGAATAACCATTCAGGAAAGAGAAAAGGTTGCGAATGATAGTATTCGTAATATTATATTTATTGTTATTTATTTATTTCCTCTTTTCCTAAAAAATGACAAAGGGCAGACATTTGAAATGCTGTTTGCATACGTGTCTGGCATACAGCAGTATAGCAAGACGATAAGATATGAGTGTGGTGTCTTCTGACATCAACACTCATCTGAGGTTGGAAACTGTGGTTACTGAGGTTCAGCTAGTTTGTCACACAAGTCAAAGAAATGTTTGATTAGGCTGTGTCACGCGAGGCACACATGAACCATGTCCTCATTCATCTAAATAATGATGAATAAATACGACCATTTGATAAAAATCAAAACCAAATTCTAAATATTGTAGTATTTGTTTCCTATGGTAACGGTCTTCAACAGGGTACAACAAATTGTATTTATGTCATTATGAGAAATCTAAAATATATATTTCTAGTGTTTAGTAATCAAAACAGTGATACTTGATTCTTAAAATGGCAGTTTTATATTGACATTTACTGCAGTTTCATCAGGAGAATTTGAAAATATTTTCAACATAACTGAGGAACTCAGTTACATGTTAGAGCAGAGCGTTTCTGTCTACCATGTGTTGCATTACACTAAACCACATTATTTCTTCAATGAAGCTCTTGTTCACATGATGTAAACTAGTGAAAAGAGAAATAATTCTTTCAACAATTTGCAAGAGTTAAATCTAAGCACTAATATTAAAATAAAGTTTGTAAAAATTCTCGATGCACACACACGCACACACACACACACACACACACACACACACACACACACACACACACACACACACACACACACACACACACACACACACACACACACACACACACACACACACACACACACACACACACACACACACATGCGCTTTTGTCTCTGTCACTTTAATGAATATGGGATCTTACAGTTGCAGTTTACTAGTCTACCAACCAAATTGCTCATTAAAACAACACGCACACACACACTACACAACACACACATACCACACACCACACACACACACACACACACATATCACACACCGCACACCACACACACACACAACACACACATACCACACACCACACACATACCACACACACACACACACCACACACACACACACGCACACACAACACACACATACCACACACCACACACACACACACACACACACACACACACACACACACACACACACACACACACACACACACACACACACACACACACACACACACACACACACACACTTCTGACAGAGGCTGAAATGTACCAGGGGTGGAACCAGGAAACGTCTATATAGCTTTTTTCAAAATGTCTACCTTTGCTAAACAACTTACATTACATTTTAATCTTGTACACTGTGACACATACAGCAGTTTTAACCCTTAAAGCGTTGTGGGCCTCAATATGGCCATTGTCTTTAACACGTTTATTGCATCTATTATGAAAGCCTGTTTTGAACATGCAAGTTACACAGGTTTTGTAATCCAACCATCCTTTTACGAAAAGTCAACAGACTGTTAGCAAACACACTGAAGCAATAAAGACCACAAACTAAGTAATATCTTACTTCTCTAAAAATGACAAGACCTTTAGTGGAAGGTGTGGATTTGAGCAGAGACCATGGCAACCAGCTCCCTACTACTGCTGCTCTTCATCTTTAATGGTAAGATGAGACATAAATTAGCATTGGCTGCCAACTGAGAGCAATTTGGATAAACACAGGCGATTAATGAATTGTGATTTTGTATTTCAGGAGCTAATGGTTCTTATATTGTTGGAGGAAGAGATGCTGCCCCTAATTCTCGACCGTACATGGCCTCGCTGCAAGTCCGAGGACGCCACCTCTGTGGGGGTGCCCTGATGAGAGGGGACTTTGTGCTCACAGCAGCACATTGTGAGATACCCATGTAAGATTAAAAAAAAACAGTCAGAGATTTTTCTGTTATTTTGTGTTTTTTCATATCAGGTCAATTTAGTAGAAATACAAACTTACAGGGACATTTAATTCGTCAGACCAAAGTAATTTATTCCAGCAAACATTTTTACATATTTGTCAAAGTAAGGCTTAGTTACAAGCAGGACATGTTTTTGGGGATGCACTCTTTGATAATGTTTTACTGTAGTGAATACCGTTCTTCTTTAAAGTCGGCAAGGTGATTGTGTACTTAATAAATGAATGGAAAGTGCTGATTTGTAGGACAACTAGAAAACATAAATTGTTCTTAGAAGTGGTCAATTTGTTTTCTTTTATGTAATGATATTTTCAATGTTGAAAATAATGTCAATCTCAAGAGAAATTATTTGAACTCTTAACCGAATGCCTATCCATCATTTTATTGTGATTTCTAGACCATATACAGTCGTGCTTGGAGCTAATTCCCTGAACGCTAATGAGCCTACAAAGCAGGAGTTCACTGTAGTCAGATCCATTCCACATCCCAACTATGATGGACATGGAAATGATATCATGCTTTTAAAGGTAAGGATTACATTGTTGGTGAATCAGATTATTAAGGGGAAATTAAGGTTTAAATGTACGTATTTCTTTATCAATTGAATTGTTCTTGTCTTAGCTCAATGGAAGTGCACAACTGACGGACTCCGTGCAGCTGATCTCTCCGAAAAGAGGCAGGCTGAGTACTTCCAGTCAGTGCATCACAGCTGGCTGGGGGGATGTAGGGGACAATGGCACCTTACCGAACAGGCTTCAGGAAGTCAACGTAACCACCCTGCCACAGCGGGGGTGTATTAAAAGGTGGAGAACTGTTCCCATCACCAGCAGCATGGTTTGTGGCATTGGAGCCGGTGTCTTTCAAGGCTTCTGCTCGGTAAGAGAATACGCTTAAAAGCAAACCTTTCAAAGAGTACGCTTCAATATGTTAAAATAAACATTACATTTGTTAATAATATCTTTGTTTTTCGTTTAAAAATGATGCCACTGTAGTGAAGGACATAATTAACCCTTTGTGGTTAAACACTAGAAACTAATGTGTCTTTTCTGTGATGTTTTATCTTCACATTAACACCGAGGCAGACTCAAAGATAGAAGTCTTTATTTTTCACACCACTTCTACACCGTCTTATTTTATGTTTGCAGTTATTAAGTAAGGCTGAGAACAAAAAAAGATCTCAGGATGTTTCAAACAAACTACACAATTTGTGAAGGGTCTCTCATCTTTTCTGTTTAAGGGGGATTCAGGTGGTCCGTTGGTGTGTGATGGAGCAGCAGCAGGCGTCGTCTCCTTCTCTGGTCGGAGATGCGGAGACCCCAGGACTCCTGATGTCTACACACGCATTTCAACCTTCAGGCGTTGGATAGCAAGAGTGTTAAACAAGAATTAGGCAAATTAGGTATAATGGTTATGTGTCAATAATATGCTTGATGCAAATGTACAGTAAGACAACGCTCTTTATAATGAGGTGTCATGTGCCATGCAGTGCTGTGGCTGTTGAGATAAGATAATAAAGGAAGTTTTTGTCACCCCCACTGTTGTTGCCTTTTGTTTCTGTTATGCATCATGCCTTTGAATAAGTCAGGAATTTAGTTTTTTCGTCGTCAAATTGAAAAAATATACTGGCCTGCAACAAGTGAAAATGAGTGTAGTCAATCCCACAGCACTACGTTTTGAATTGTCAAACAGTGACACCACCAGGAAATCATGAACTCTGTCATTACAGCTTTAGAAACAAAATGTAGTAGCAGAATTAGTAGTAATGACAATATAGGTTCAGGGTATATCATGTTGAATTTGTTAAAAAAAAAAGGACTCCTGATGTCTACACACGCATTTCAACCTTCAGGGGTTGGATAGCAAGAGTGTTAAACAAGAATTAGGCAAATTAGGTATAATGGTTATGTGTTAATAATATGCTTGACTGGGATGCAAATGTAAGACAACACTCTTTATAATGATGTGCCATGCAGTGCTGTGGCTGTTGAGATAAGATGATAAAGGAAGTTTCACCCCCACTGTTGTTGCCTTTTGTTTCTGTTATGCATCATGCCTTTGAATAAGTCAGGAATTTTGTTTTCAAATTAAAAAAATATACTGGCCTGCAACAAAGTGAAAATGAGTGTAGTCAATCCCACAGCACTACGTTTTGAATTGTCAAACAGTGACACCACCAGGAAATCATGAACTCTGTCATTACAGCTTTAGAAAAAAAATGTAGTAGGCTACTAAGCAGAATTAGTAGCCTAATGACAATATAGGTTCAGGATATATCATGTTGAATTTGTTAAAAAAAAGGGCGTATTTCACGAACGTTTTCACAGATAAAGTATGAACACCTCACTTTGAGACATCATTAAAGTCAGTGGCACAGCTGATTTTACCATTGATTTGCCCATGCTCACTAACACTGCCCTAAATGCTAGGCAAGAGGTCATTGTAGCTGTCTAACGACCCTGAAGATTACTGGAACAGTTGTATTGCAGGCATTCAGTTCATAATTCAAGATACATTTAAAACGTGGTCATTACGGCCATTGAGTATTTGCAACACTGGTTGCACCATATTTCACATCAGTGCAATGTATTTAATATGTGGATCAAACTTGATTTGCTAATTGTTGTGAAAGACCTAAAGTTGCATTTACATGTTAAAGAAAGAGTATGCTTGGCAATACAGTCCAAACACCACATTGTATGCTAATGTTGCTTTTCTAACTTTAAAATCTCCTTAACGTTCTCTGCCCCTTTAAATCAAATTATTGGCGAGTCTTGCGTCACAGAAAATTCCGACCTCACTCTCCTGCTGTGGTTTGTTGCTGTGTACCTTTTCATGTCTATCATGCGCTATAATACCGTAATGACGCTATTTCCGAAAACACTCGAACGCAGCATGCAGCACAACACCTGTGTAACTCCGGTTGTTAAAAAAAGTCCACATCATTGTCATTAAAACACAATTTCCCAGCGTTCATTGCGCGAGTGTTGCTGTCTTTCTCTGTGGTCGTGGCAACCGAAGGCTCCCTGGGAACTAGAGTCTCGTTTCCGCATCTCCCATTTTCCACAGGTTTCGCGAGATTTACATAGGCGGGCTGGTGTGTGGCAGCATTTCTCTGCCAGACGAACTGAACAATACTGATATGAAATCTGCGTAAAGGTAATGGAGAGATGTTACGTGGGGAGAAAATGGGCTGTAACCACCCAGTTGTTGCTGGTGTGTGATACCTGGTTTCAGGGACACGGGTTTAGCTAGCTGCCTTCACATCTGCATTGAGGTAGAGCTAGCCTTATTGATAACGTACAGTGAGGTGTAGGTGTGTTGGATTAAGTCCAGGACAGGTGGTATACGGCATGCCTTATAACGTGGTTTATAGTACTCATCTCAATATATTGTTCATGTATGCTGCTAATATTCAAGTTATTTACAGTCACATGTAACCGGCTAACGTTGTATACTGTAATATGTCAGCTACAGTGAAATGGCTGACATATTGAAGTTGTGTCTGCCAGATTGTGTTTTAAATACTTAACGGAGCTGAAGTTGTGTAAGAAATATGACCAAGTCTCGCACCAGATATGACCTCCATGTCTGTGTAGTTAGAGTAAATACCCAGGAAGTTATTCCTGCATGCTAATCTATTGGCTGCTGCAGTTGTCAGTCTCTGTTGAGCAGCCTGCAGTCTGTCACAGGTTTCTGTAGAGAGGACAGCCTCTTAGCTGGAGCAGAGGCCTTCCTCATGCTGTTATATAGGTTATATACAGGACACGGCAGGTATGGCAGCTGTCATACTCTCTCATAATCACTGAAACGTGTCCCTGTCTTTCTCTTTATCAGTAGCCTTTGACTTTCTGGAGGCATGTCCAAGAAAAGAGGCAGGTATGTTGAAACAAAGCTATGTCATCACATGAGGCCATTAATGGTTGTTTTAAAATATAGTGTAATAGTTATTAGAGGTGGTTTTATAACATAATGTAAATGGTAAAAAATCCCACTGCATTCAAATAAACAGCTGTATACAAAACAACAGAGTATTTTTTAATGGGACAACAGACGCACAGCCCTTAATATTCCTGTTTTCTCAGAAAGCGGAGTAGCGGGGAGCTGAGTGACACATTGACCCCGGATCCCAACAGCATTCTGGGAGTCCGCATTCAGCATAACTGGCGTGAGAAGGGGAACCAGAGCAAATGGAAGGGAACGGTACTGGACAGGCTGAGTGTGAACACTTCTCTCTTCATGGTGAAGTATGACGGCTTCGACTGCGTCTATGGCATCGAGCTGTTCAAGGACGAGAGAGTGTCGAACCTGCAGGTCCTGTCAGAAAAAGTTGGTGAGTTACCACACCTCTCGTTAATCTGCACCATGTAGTTTTAGACTTATTAACAAAGAGAAACATTTGTCATATAATGAAGATGCTATTCACGTTTACCTGCGGTTTGGTAACAAATTGCCATGTTTCTCACTTTTAATGTTTACATCGTTTGTGGCTGTGTCTCCAAAGTAAACAACAAGATCAAGATGCCACCAGGGGCGGAGGAGCTGGTGGGCAAAGCTGTGGAGCATCTGTTTGAAAAGGAGGATGGAGAGAAGAACGAGTGGAGAGGCATGGTCCTCTCCAGAGCTCCCATCATGACCAACTGGTATTATATCACTTATGAAAAGGACCCCGTGCTTTATATGTACCAGCTGTGGGACGACTATGCTGACGGAGACCTCAGGATTCTGCCTGAAGCAGGTACTGGTTGTTTTTTTTAACAAAGACCGATTGATACTTAACAAGGCTTTCTTAAGTCTTCAATAACTGTGTCCTAAAGCTTTATAGATCAAGATCTGCTATGTGATGGAAATGTATTTTCTACTTTGGAGGACTGTTTCAACTTATTTGACATGGATAGCATGTGAGTTCCTGGTGGTCTTAGAAGTCTGTATTTATCAATAGTATTCATCAAATAATTATACTCGTAATAGTAAACAGGCTAAAGTACATCATTTAAAGTTACGCTTGGAGTTGTGTTTGGAGATAAGAGATATATTCTGTATGAGGTCGAATGATATCCAATCTAAATATTGAACACATTTAAAAACTCATATTGTTTGTTATTTTAAAGATTTGTTGCCATCATTATTTATATTATAGAGATTACATGCTTAAAAGTTGTCTAAAGTAATTAAAAAAAATGTTTAAAGTTGTCTAAAAAGAAATTAAGACTGGAATGGGAAAATTGGGATGTATACTTCTTATGACAGTTATCACATCCTATTATTTTTATGAATAAGATACATTTTGGGATAGATCATTTCTAGAATAATAAAGAACTCTTGGTTTTAATCATTTTCCGTGCACATTTTGGTTGAAAAACAAACCACTGTGTGTTGTATCCACTTTGAGATACTTTAAGTAGGCGGTGTTTGGTGAGTTACACACAAGCAAATGTCAAACTAACTTGGACTTACTCACATGTAACGCTATAATGTTTCACTCCTCAGAAAACAAACACCTGTTGCCTGCAGACAGGAAGCCCGGAGAAGAGACGGAGAGTCTGGTGGGGAAACAGGTGGAGTATGTTACTGACAAAGGTGTGAAGAGAACAGGCCTGGTCATCTACCAGGTCCCAGCCAAGCCCTCTGTCTACTATATCAAATATGATGATGACTTTCATATCCATGTCTATGACCTGGTGAAAACCACCTAGGCATAGTGGACACTTGATCTCACTCTCCAGCCTCCCTCCATCTGCGTCTGTTCCACTCATCGTTATAATCTGTTATCCAAAGCCATGGCAGGGTTGAATAGTTAAAACGCTTTATTGTTCAGAAGAAAGTGCAATCTGTTTTTCATATGCACAGCAGAACTGTAGCACCGCTATGCTCGGCTATCGCAAGGAGATGGAGTCAACTTGTTTTTATTGTTGCTGCTCTGCATTTTTATTTAAGGTTGGACAGTTCAGGATGGCCCGACAGCTGCAAAGAGGGCAGTTGATTTCTGCATTTGGTTTTGTTTTTCCTTGAGATGTTCGCTCATCTGTCCTTGGAGTAATTATCCTAATTAAATAGCTAGTAAGCACGATATACGCATTACGTTTGGGATAGACACATTCCACTGAGGCATTTATTAAATTGAATGGGCAGATGAATGTGTGTATTGTATTCATTTAACAATATTATACAATTATTGTTAATAATGGAAGGAATGGCTGATATCAACTTTGTAAAAGGGGTCCCTTATATTTACAAAAGCCTTTTAGATTAATTATGCTTTGTGTAAAGATTCTCCTGCACCGTTGCACCATATTTAGCAAGTTATAAGATACTTTGCACTGGTGGAGAAGACACAGTTTGCCAAATTCTCATATAAATTAGATCCCACACAAATCATAAAGTGCCTTTCGGCTTGTCATTTTTGCAATATTGTAAATACTATATCTCCACCATCTACACCCTTATTAAATCATTGCGTATGAAGGCTGCTATTTGGATTTCATTCAGATGTAAGGACACTGACAGCTTGAGGAAAGTTTTGCAACCATTAGTTTATGAGTGCTGTGTTTTGCTGTTAATGCAGTATCAAATGTTCTTTAAATATTACACACTTCATTGGTTGTATAAGCTCACTGTTGATCTTCGGGGAGCACTTTATTGTATAAAGTTTACATGTTTAGGTTATAGTACGCTATATACAGTTGTGGTCAAAAGTTTACATACACTTGTAAAGAACATGTATTTCATGACAGTCTAGACTTTTCAATAATTTCTACAACTCTTTTTTTTCTGTGATAGAGTAATTGGAGCAAATACTACGTTGTCACAAAACAAAAATCATGAAGTTTGGTTCTTTTATTAATTTATAATGGGTTTTCTGAAAATGTGATCGAATCTGCTGAGTTAAAAATATACATATAACATGAATTATCAATTTTTGGGATGTAGAAAGTTGTTTTAATCAAATTAACTTTGTGTGAGTGATTATAATTTAAATAGGGTTCATATGATACAATCGTTAGACTCATCCACATCACTACAATGGAAAGGTCAAAGGAGCCTCAACATGGATCTGAAAAAGTGGATCATTGACTTCAACAAGTCAGGAAAGTCACTTGTAGCCATTTCAAAGCAGCTACAGGTCCCAAGATCAACTGTGCACACAGTTGTTTGTAGGTATAAAGTGCATGGCACTGTTGCATCACTGCCATGATCAGGAAGAAAACGCAAGCCATCACCTGCTACGGAGAGAAAAATGGTCAGGATGGTCAAGAGTCAACAGAGTACCATTAAAAAGAAGGTCTGCAATGAATTAGAAGCTGCTGGAACACAGGTGTCAGTGTCCACAGTCAAGCGTGTTTTACATCACTATGGGCTGAGAGGCTGCCGTGCAGGAAGGAAGCCCTCGCTCCAGAAGCGGCACATTGAGGCTCGACTGAAGTTTACTGCTGATTAAATGGACGAAGAAAAAGCCTTCTGGAGTAAAGTTCTGGGGTCAGAGGAAACAAGAATCTATCTGTTTGGCCACAATTACCAGAAATATGTTTGGAGGAGAGAAGGTGAGGCCTTTAACCCCAACATCACTATGCCTACCGTCAAGCATGGTGGTGCTACTATTATGCGCTGAGCATGTTTAGCTGCCAATGGAACTGGTGCTTTTCCTAAAGTCAATGGAATAATGAAGAAAGAGGATTACCTCCAAATTATTTAGGAGAGCCTAAAATCATCAGCCAGAAGGTTGGGTCTTGGGCGCAGTTGGGTGCTCCAACAGGACAATGACCACAGACACACATACAAAGTGGAAAGGAATGGCTAAATCAGGCTAGAATTAAGGTTTTAGAATGGCTTCCCAAAATCCTGACAGTGCTGAGGAAACAAGTCCATGTCAGAAAGCCAACTAATTTAGTTGAAATGCACCAATTCTGTCAAGAGGAGGGGTCAAAGGTTCAACCAGAAGCTTGTGGATGGCTACCAAAAGCACCTAATTGAGGTGAAAATGGCCAAGGGACATGTTACCAATTTGTTTCGTTGTTGTATGTATATTTTTAACTCAGCAGATTCGATCACATTTTCAGAAGACTCATTATAAATTCACAAAAGAACCAAACTTCATGATTTTTGTTTTGTGACAAAGTAGTATGTGCTCCAATCACTCTATCACAGAAAAATAAGCGTTATAGAAATGATTGAAAAGTCAAGACTGTCATGAAATACATGTTCTTTACAAGTGTATGTCAACTTTTGACCACAACAGTAGTTTCCCCAAAATGCTTTTTCCTTCAGAGAAAATGTGGCGGAATAAATGCTTTATATCATACGCATGAAGAAAAAAAGAAAAATGTGTTGCAATATGTTCAAATGACAGTATTCAATATGTAAGACTTGTGTAAAATGCCTTGTAATGTTGCTTGTAGTGGTTACTCTCATTTATATACATTTCTCATCCAAACAGCACCAGCTTTTAGTGAAAGGGTTGTTTATTTCCAAGAATTATAACAGGTATATTCAACTGAAAAAATAACAGTATGTTGACAGTAACTCACTAACTCTGGTTATAGGCTTTATAACTTTGTCTCTTGCCAACATGTTTGCAAAATTGGTTTCATCCACACTTTTTCAGTTGCTGAATTGGTCTAGCCCCGTCAGTCTTCTTCAATTGTATCCCTCAGTTAACTAGTCAATCAGTGGTTTAACTGTTCCTGTTATTTTTAGCTTTCAAAACACTGCATGAATTATCTGATCAGAGTGTCTGGATATATTTAAACCTTATTTTGACAGTAGGAAAGTGACAATGTGTGGCAGAATAGGTACCGTTAGTTTAACCTACATTAAAAAAAGAGGTTCTCACTGTACATCACCACTAGTGGTGCTGTGTAGTGTTTCTGTGTTGTGTAAAGTGGAGTTACAAATGACTGTAAGCGCTATTCTTTATGCTTTGAATCAACACCTGTTCCAAGATGTAGCAGCATCGACAGGCAATTTGTGTCGTTATTATTCTGTCATGAGTAATAAAGATTTTTGCACATTTGTCTGGTCTTGTTCTTAAGACACGCTGCCTTGATCAACATGCAGTATATTCTTTCCTTAATAAATCAAACTAAAGACGTGACTTGTTTTAAGATTGATGTATTTTTTGTGACAACTGGTGAAATTGCATATATACACAATATACAGACATTCTCTTCATAAGATTACTTGGATTGTTTGAGAACAAAGGAGGGTGAAATACTGATTATTAGACAGTATTAAGCTAAATTAATTTGGATGGAATACACAAAATGAAAAAAAAAATGTGTTTTTTAAACTACATTTAGCTTCCTAGCATTATGTACAAAACAACTCAAAACGAATGCCGCTAACATTTAGAGAACCAAAATAACATTCAGTCTCCACTCCTTATAGCTGAACTGTTTCCTTCTATGTTGGGAGTTTCTTCTTTCCTGGGAGGGGAAACAACTTTTGAAGAAGTAATTTCTCAAGTGCAAAACTCAAAAACATGAATAAATGTCAGGTTGTCCAGGTTGAGGTCCTGTTTACTTCGTCAGGTCTTTCATGTACTGAAAACCTTGATTTGTGTATCCAACTGCGTTTGTTGGAGCCTCTGAAAGAGTTGAAATGGTTTTCCGCACCCCTGCAATACAAATCAATGGTTTGGTTTAGAGATATCGGAAATACGTTCAAAGCATTACAGGTATAAACCAATACAACAACAATTATATTGGAGCGATAGTAGTGATGCTTCAATTGATAACAGACCAAATGAAATGCTAACTATATCACTATATCTAAGTCACTGCCATCATTTCAAATGTGGGCATTAAGAACAAATTCATGATGGTATCACACGTGTTACAATCTCTTCAAAAAAAGGGAACAAGTTTTCTTTCAGTTCTTACCAGAGTTCCACGCCTGAACGGGAGAAAATTCCACTGTAGGTATGGTTGGAAGCTGAGCCTGAGGAGGGGATGAGAAGAGGTCTGTTAGTTTGAAACACCACAGGACTTGCTTACATGAATTGTAAATATGTATACTACTGAACAAAAATATAAATGTAACACTTTTGTTTTTGCTCCCATTTTCCATGAGATGAACTCAAAGATCTAAAACATTTTCTATATACGCAAAATAACCATTTCTCTCAAATATTGTTCACAAATCTGAACAAATCTGTGATAGTGAGCACTTCTCCTTTGCCGAGATAATCCATCCCACCTCACAGGTGTGGCATATCAAGATGCTGATTAGACAGCATGATTATTGCACAGGTGTGCCTTAGGCTGGCCACAATAAAAGGCCACTCTGAAACGTGCAGTGTTATCACACAGCACAATGCCACAGATGTAGAGGGAGCGTGCAATTGGCATGCTGACAGCAGGAATGTCCACCAGAGCTGTTGCCCGTGAATTGAATGTTCATTTCTCTACCATAAGCCGTCTCCAAAGGCGTTTCAGAGAATTTGGCAGTACATCCTCACAACCGCAGACCACGTGTTGCATTTATATTTTTGTTCAGTGTATATTGCATTTATATGAAATTGTGTAACACCAGTGCAAATAGACAGTGTGCAATCTGAGAGATATTAGTTTGGCTGATGACTCCCAATACTACCTTATACATTATCTTAAAATGGTGGGCATGATACTCCAGAATTCCACCGGAATGGGAATATATACTCAAATAATTTGGATATTTTTAAGAATAATCAGACAGTTATCTTCATCTTATGTTTTTTTGTTACCGGGCCTTGTACCTGGAAAGTCATGATAGTTTGTTTAATGGGAAAGAATACAAATGAGCTGGTGGATTTGAATGGGTCGGATCAATGCTGGTTTAAAAAGAATCCACAAAAAAACATATTTAGTGATTCCATTGCTTTAGGATTGTTACTTTTAAATAACTTGGTCTGGTTTGTAGTAAACACAACTGAGAACTTTTCATTGAATGTAACAATACATTATTTTCATCTTGTAATAGTGAATTAAAATGATGTTTGGGACGACTATGAGATGGTAGGACACTAGAATAGAACATAATCCATGTCAACAAATATAGCATGATCAGCAGTGTTTAAAGTATTTACCTTTTTAGCTACTGCAGGCACATTTCAAAAACAAATATAGATATAAATGGGTTTACTTTTCATATTGTCCTGTAGTTGCAAGGCCATGCCTACTACCAGCCCATATCATAAGTAGAGCATCTTATCTGTACCTCCAGGCCAAAGTACTTCATCCACTCCTGTACGGCGGGGGGGATCGCAGCCTTGGCCTTCCCCAGGGCCACGGAGCCCTGCTCGCTGCTTCCTAACAGGCCAGAGCCGTAGGCGACGTAGAGAGCTCCTCCTGCAATGGTCACCTTGGTGGCCAGTCTAAACATATGGGGAGAGAGGCAGTCAAGCAACAAACCAAGAAAACCCACCTCAGTATCCTGTCAAATATATGTCAAACAGATGAATAACACGCTTAAAATGTTACCATTAGTGCTGTGCACAGCTTAAAGTGTCTCTGAAGTTGCTGTAGTATTTTTGGCCTTTTATAGAACAGTGATGAATAAAGTATCTATCTATAAATAATCAGTTAACTATTCAACGGTTAGCTAGTTATACAACATTAGCTCACGTTGGTGAACGAATACGTTTGGTGTGTATAAAGCTACAGTTGACGTGCAATGTATAACGCTCCAGGTAGACTATGATAAGCTAAATAGTGATCTATTAAACAGACTAAGCTATCTATCCTGTAATTACAGTGGTTCATGACAGCTGGAAATCTCTCCGACACACTGACAGTTAGCTTTGCGTCACTAAGCTACATGGCTAATGGAGCGGCTAGCACGCCACACTGTAGCAAAAACATAATGGAAATTACGAGTAAAATGATAATTACTTACTTTACTACGGGCAGAATCTTTGCCGCCATGGTCCACAGTGGTGCAGTGTCCTTCAACGCAGGGTTATTCCAGTTACGCCAGTAAAAAGCTTGAATGAAGGCTATGCTGAAGGACAACACTGCGTACAAGGGCTGTGTCAATAAAGTTGCCCTTTCAAAAGCCAGCGTTAGTGGTATTTAAGAGCAGCAGATTCGATCTAATTCTCGTTTTGCATGTATTTCGACTTAAATCCCAATGTTGTCACTTTATGTGTTATTTCGCACAATAAATATTTGAAGCAGATTTTTCTGAAAGGCGTCTCAAGGAAAATGTCAAATATGTTGTAGTTATTTATACAGGATGATGAGGAAGCATATCATGAAGCTTAAATAGCCCTTACTTGGCATATTTGCAACACTATTAGTGAGTGGTTCCTGGCTAAAAGTACATACTTAATCTAAAACGAAAATAGTAATAGCTTGTGGATACAAAAGCAAGGGAACGTTTGATCCTTTGAACTGTTTCAGAAAAGTATGAAAGCACATATTAATGAAATTGTGTCTTCATTAAATAAACACATTTGACTCTACATAAAGACGTTATATAGATGTACCATTAAGTATAATAATAAATCAAATCAGATGTCAGGGGAAACGTTTGGAGTAAAGCAGTAGAAGAATGTAACCTATGTAAGCCTATGTAAGTTAAACTATATTAAAATGAAAATGTCTGTACATGTGAAACAATAAAGCATATTCAGTTAATTTAAATGACAAAATGAATATAATGGGAAATAATCCAGTGTATCCAGTTTAAGCACTCCGCCACGTTGTCCTTCGGCTCCGCCCACATCCAAGCGAGTAGAACTAGTTCAACATGTTCAACTTTTATCATACAAATAACCTTACCCCTCCTATGCATGTCAAGTTGAAGAGGGGAAGGGTTTGGTAAAAGGCACTCCTTTTTATTCCTCATCCCAGTGCAAGGAAGAAGGCTGTAACAAAGCTACAAACAAGGTCAAAACATGGGAACTTGTACAAAGGTCCTGTTAGCGTCTATATGTGTTGCTTTCCTTGCTGTCAAGTGGACTTCACCCAGTTTTAATAAAGGTAAGAGAGTGGGTTAACTAACCTTGTTGTTGACTAACGATACTTTGGGATGTTTGCATAGGATTCTTGTCTAGACGTTTTTTTTAATTTGTGCTGATTACTGAAGAGTTTTGAAACGGTCCTAAACTGCTGTGTTTGAAATACCAGTTACACACAAATTGCATTGAAGTAGCTTAAAATGCACAGGCATTTACACATTTAAATACCCGGAGTGTGGGTGTAGCTAAAGGTGCATATCATGTGTGTGCAAAGACGAATTGTTCTTTGCATTGTTTTAACATTAAGGACTCCTCTTTCTTGCAGTTGGCTAGAAAAGTAGACAAAGACCTACAACCTAATTTTAAACAGAACGAGCCAAAACAAAGAGTCCTTGGAGATGGACTAATGACATTGTTCATGTGAAGCCAAGTGAGGGGCAAGTGCACAGGGACCGTCTACAAAGTGCAATGCCGAAAAGGGATAACACGTGTAGCAACTTCACTGCTGTAAAGTATTGACCTACTCAAATAAAGTTACAAATGAATGGTCCCCTGTTGGTTATACTACCACACTTAGTTTGAGAAAAGAGTAGTTTGCTAAATGTAGATTATTACTCTTTTGAAAAATATGTAATACTTCCACTGCTTTGCAGTAGTCTACCTGAATCACATCAACATGTATTTCTTTCTGGTTGATTTTACTATAAGACAAAGTGTGGAAAAATATGCTGTTGCATTATTTTGGTGATATTTCTCCTGAGAATATTCAATAACTTTACTGTTATAGATTAATGGTCTCCTGTTAGACTACGTTTGAAAATGCAATGTTTTATTTAAGATAAATTGTAGCTTCGTGCACCTGGTTTTTAAGACCTGTTTGCACATTATGAAATATAAAATGAGGATCCAAAATATCCTAGATCTCATTAAGTAATACAACAAATTAAAGAAAATCGCATTTATACAAATGGTATTCTCTTGAATTGGTTCAGTGGAGATTTATTTAACTTTTTAAGCTATATTAATTTATGAAATCTGACAATAAATTAGGGATGGCTCATATTAGAAAAAAG